GAGTCATGACCTCCCACAGAGGATGGGCTGTGCAGGCCCCTTCCCTGCCCAGGTGAGACAGAGGCCTTGCTCAAGATGTCATGGGAGGAGGTAGGACCTCTTCACCTGCCTCTTCCTGAAGCTCCTAGAGTGGCTGGCTCCTGGCCCACATTCAGCCCTGGCTGTCCTTACCAATTGCAAGAGAAAGCCCAGAGAGCTGGGTGAACTGTGTGACTCAGAAGGTTGAGGCCTCAGTAAGCTGCCTCTTCTGTGAAGCCATGCCTTCTTCTCCAAGGGCTGCCAATCCCATTGATTACGATGAGAATGATGCTCCCAGAGTTATGGAGCAATGAGACCGACTCACTTGTGCCCCGTACTCGTGCCTACCTAGCACTTCTGTGTGGGCATCCCTCTCCTCCCAAGTGACTCAGGAAAGGCTAGTAGGCCAGATGCTGGTGGCTCACGCCTCATCCTAGTTACTCAGGAGGCTGAGATCTGAAGATTGCAGTTCAAAGCCAGGCCAGGCAGGAAAGTCCAGACTCTTATCTCTGATTCATCAGCAAAATGCAGGAAATGGAGCTGTCGCTCAAGTGGCAGAGTGCCAGCTTTGAGCGAAAAAGTTAAGGGACAATGCCCAAGCACTGAGTTCAAGCTTCAGTAGCAGTGCAGAAGAAGAAAAAGAAAAGAAAAGAAAAGAGGGGCTGGGAATGTGGCTTAGTGGCAGAGTGCTTGCCTAGCATGCATGAAGCCCTGGATTTGATTCCTCAGTACCACATACACAGAAAAAGCGAAAAGTGCTGCTGTGGCTCAAGTGGTAGAGTGCTAGCCTTGAGCCTGGACAGAGCTCAGGCCCTGAGTTAAAAAAAAAAAAAAGAAAAGAGAAAAGAAAAGAACAGAACAGAAAAGAAAAAAGCTGATAAGACTAAGGGGCTCTTAAAAGGCAGTGTTTCTTTCCCTTTCTCCAGGCAGGCAGGGACCTGAAACATGAAGATGGATCTATCTGTACTTTCTCAGCGCCAACCCCAACCATCTCCAAACGGGGCATATGTATGAGCCTGTGTGAACTTTTGTGTAGACCTCCTTATAGATATGAATGAGCTTGGTAGGAGTACATAGGGTCATGGTCCTGCAAGTTGGCCCTGATTAGGGGAATAGGGGAACAATGGTACTGAAATCCAATTCTTGTTTTGCTTACTAAGCTATGTGTCTGATGTGGAGCTGCATTGACTAGAAGGGGGTCACAAAGATGACAGTTGGTAAGCTGCTATTCCAGGATTATAGACCTAAAGTACATACATATATACATAAATACATGGATCACACACACATATATGTATCTGTATACTTTCCTGGAACTTTTTTTTGGGCCCTGGTACTGGAGCTTCAACTCAGGACCTGGCACTCCACAACTTGAGCTATAGTTCCACTTGGAGATTTTTGGTGGTTAATTGGAGATGAACGTCTCAGGATTTTCCAGCCCAGGCTGACTCCAAATCACAATCCTCAGATCTCAGCCTCATGAGTAGCTAGGATTATAGTCACCAGCCACCTGGTTTTCCTATGTGAGCTAAGTGCACACACATGTATGTACAGGGACGCTCATAGACTGCCCCCTGTTTTCTCCCTTGCTCTGCTTCCCAGTCTCTGCTGCCAGCAGGCCTAGGATGGGACAGGGAGAAAGGAGGGCTGCAGGCCTGAGTTCAGGATTTCCGGCCTGCTTTTGTCTTTGCAGGCCCACTTGATGAAATGAGGAATTGAGAAGCACACTGCAGGGTGGGGAGCAGGGAAGGCAGCCTGGCAGGGGCTGTTCCCCCAGTCTCATAACCTGTGGTTGGGGCTCTGGCACCAAGAGTCTAGGGTTGTCTCTGAGTCACAGGTTAGAAATACAGCTAGCAGGCAGGCAACTCAGTGATGGCTCTCTGATTCACCATGGGGCCTCCCAGCCCAGGAGGTAGGGGAGTCTAAGCCAAGGGCTATGAGAAGCTCCTGTATAATATATACATATATGATATATGATATATATTTATATGATATATGATAGCTATATGATATATAACATGTGTTTATATTCACACATATACAAGTACACATACCTACCTAGATATATGTGCCTATGGCCCTGCTCTCATGTGAATGAAATCATATAATAATAAAAAATTTTTATGTGCGAGTCCTAGGGCTTAACTCAGGAACTAAGCACTGTCTTGGAGCTCTTTTTTTTTTTTTTTTTGGTTGGTTGGTCATGGGGCTTGAACTCTGGGCCTGGGCGCTGTCCCTGAGCTCTTCAGTTCAAGGCTAATGCTCTACACTTGAGCCACAGCACCACTTCCGGTTTTCTGGTGGTTAATTGGAGATAAGAGTCTCACAGACTTTCCTGCCCAGGCTGGCTTTGAACCATGAGCCTCACAGCTGAGCCTCCAGAGTAGCTAGGATTACAGGTATGAGTCAACTGTGTCCAGCAAAATCCTGTAATTATCCAAGCAGAGCTGTGTCTATAGGCAAGCATGTGACTGCAAGCTATGTGGAGGTGGGGTATTTATGTGTATGTGTGTGCACATTTGCATGAGTGTGAGTCTACCCTATTGCATCTCTCTGTGTGTGAACTGCCTGTAAGACATTTCTCATTTCTGACAGCCATTTCTCAATGGAAAAGTCCTCAAGGCCCCTTAGCCCATCTGGATTAAGTCCCTCTCAAAAATGTAGTTTCTCTGTAATCCTAGCTACTCAGGAGGCTGAGATCTGAGGATCGCGGTTCAAAGCCAGCCTGGGCAGGAAAGTCCGTGAGATGCTTATCTCCAATAAACCACTTGAAAACCAAAAGTGGAGCTGTGGCTCAAGTGGTAGAGCTCTTGCCTTGAGCTGAAGAGCAAAGGGACAGCACCCAAACCCCACGACCGACCAAAAAAAATGAAACAAAACAAAACAAAATGTGGCTTCTGCCAAGCACTAGTGGCTCACACTGGTCATCCAAGCTACTCAGGAGGCCGAGGATCATGGTTTGAAGCCAGCCTGGACAGGAAAGTCTGTGAGACATGTTATCTCCAACTAAACACCAAAAGGCCAGAAGTGGAGCTGTGGCTCAAGTGGTTGAGCACTCGTTTTGTGTAAAAAAGCTCAGGGGTAGTGCTAAAGGCCTAAGTTCAAGCCCCAGAACTGGCATGAAAAAACAAACAAACATAGTTTCTTTGGCCTCCCCTGGCAATACTGCTATGGAGAACTGAGGTGAAGCCATATTCTTTAGTCTCTGTAAAGCCCTGTGGGAGAAGGGCCCAACTTATCAAGCCTCAGTTTCCTGATTCTTCTTCTTCTGCTTCTTTTCCACCTCCTTCTTTATCTCATTTTGGGCTATGGGTCAAATCTAGGGCCTTGTACCTCCTGCTCAATTGCCTGAGACAGAGTATGTAGTTCAGTGATGTAGCTTGTGATTAGCATGTTGTGAGCGCCTGGGTTCAATGCCCAGCACTGCAGAAGATTAAAAAAAAAAGTAATAAAAGCCTGTAATCTTAGCAGGGGATGTTACCTGCCAAGCACGCCTATAATCCTAGCACTCAGAGGCTGAGTCAGTAGGATTGAGAGTTACATACTGAGACCCTGACTCAAAAAAAGGGCTGGGAATGTGGCTTAGTGGCAGAGCGTTTGCCTAGCATGCATGAAGCCATGGGTTCCATTTCTCAGTACCACATACACGGAAAAAGCCTAAACTGGTGCTGTGACTCAAATGGTAGAGTGCTAACCTTGAGCAAAAGAAGCTCAGGGACAGTGCCTAGGTCCTGAGTTCAAGCTCTACGACTGGCAAAAGAAAAGAAAAAGGAAAGTAGATAGCAAATTGTCCTTGACCCTCTCCATATTTTGGGCAGCCAATTTCTTTTTAAAGACAGACTCCCTTTGGTCAGAAAATCAACAAAGTAGGAGAGGAGAAAGTTAAACACATCTGGAACTTAACTCTGCTGGCAAGATATAGAATGTGGCATGTCAGGACAACTGCATCTCAGCCTCTGGAGCATGTGAGCAGCACGGCCAGGTACACGTGTGAGAGCTCAGCCCAGCCATGAGGAATGCCCCGCAAGGATGATCAGCACCCAGGACCTATGCCATGTGGGCACAGCTGTGGACACAGTAGACGAATGCATGGAGCATGTGACATGTTCTCACAGTACATGGAAAAGGGCCTGGGAACTCTGGAACTCAGCACACCTGTCATGTGAGCTTAACCTGGGTCTGGACTGCAAGAGTATCTCTCCTCCGGGCCTCACAGCTTCCTTTCTTCTGCCTCCTGATTGAAGACCCACTGGGTCCTTGTGTGTGTGTGTGTGTGTGTGTGTGTGTGTGTGTGTGTGTGTGTGTGTACACACACACCAATACTGGGCTTGAACTCAAGCCTGAGCATTGTTCCTTAGCTTTTTCCTCTCAAGGCTCAAGGCTGGTGATCGATTACTTGAGCCACAGCAACACTTCCCAGCTGTTTTTAGTTTTTAGGTTTTTTTTTTCTTTTTTTCTTTTTTTCACTCATGGGACTCGGGCTATCCCGAGCTCTTTTGCTCAGGGCTAGCCCTCTACCACTTTGAGCTGCAGCTCCACTTCTGGTTTTCTGGTGGCTAATTAGTGATACGAGTCTCGTTGGGGACTTCCTGCCTGGGCTGGCTTTGAACCATGGTCCTCAGATCTCAGTCTCCTGAGTAGTTAGGATTACAGGCATGAACCACAGGCCCCTGCTCCTGGGCGGGGGAGTGGGGGGAGTCCATTCTTTGGTAACTGTACTCCCTCCCGGCCAGCACCCAATTCATGTCTGACCCCCCTGGCTCTCAGATCTCCACAACCCCCTCTCAGCCCTCAGATGCCCCCCCCCCCCCTTCTCCACCAACGTCCCTCCGCCAGCGTCCCCACGGGGCGCCTCTGGGGTAAGTGGTGGGTGTCGGCCTCCCCGCCCCCAGGGCGCAGCGGGCGGGCGGGGCGCAGCGCAGCGCTCCGGCCCGGCCTCTTTCGCCGCCTATAAAAGGGCGCCGCTGCTGCGGGTCGGGGCCACCGCTGGCTGCTCCTGGCTGCTCACTCGCCCGCCCGACAGCGCCGCCGCCTGCCCTCGCCATGGGTCGACAGAAGGAGCTGGTGAACCGCTGTGGGGAGATGCTGCACATTCGCTACCGATTGCTCCGCCAGGCGCTGGCCGAGTGCCTGGGGACGCTCATCCTCGTGGTGAGTGGAGTAGCCCTTCTCCCGTCCCCCCCACCCCGCTTCCCGTCCCCCCACCCCGCCTCCACCCGTTTGCACCCCAATTCCCAGCTCATCCGAGGCGCGGTTGTTTCAAGACAGCTCTGACTGGCTTTCGCCGTCTGACCCCCAACGGAGCTCCGAGGGTTCAGGGTCCAGCTTGCACCCCGCTGCTCCCAAACTATCCAAACTCCAGCCCCGACAGACAGCTCTGACTCCAGGAGTGACAGCTGTCGCTCCCCCCCCCCCCCCCAGCCCTGTTCCTTTGCCCTCCAGCCGCAGGCTAGGGGAGAGGTCACCCCTGCAGTCCCCAGCCACCAACGTCTCCTGCCTTCTTCGTCTACAGCCTCATACATTCTCAGTAGACCCGGCCCCAGGAGGCACAGAAGGCAGAACCAAATAGACCCCTATTAGGTTATTTGGGCCCCTAGATCTCTGGCTCCTAATGAATAATTAAGCCTCTGAGAGTCCAAAAGTTGCAGTGAAGCGAGGACAATTGGCCATGGTGGGGGCAGAGGGCGCAGGCCACATAGGCTGCAAATAACCCAGTAGGAAGAAAAGATTCTTGAAGATAGAAGGCTGGGGAAGGAAGTTGTCCCTCACACAGAGCCTGTTCCAACCACAGGGCTTGCACGCCCTCTCAAGTCACCCTCACAGAAGGTGTCAGCTTCTTCGCAAAAGATCACTGGTTTTCTGAGTTTCTTCACTTTCCTGCCTCAGTTTCTCCTGCTCTGAGTGAGTGGCTTCTCTGCCTGGGTCTCGTCCTGAATTCTAGTCACTCCGCAGCTACACCAGCTTCAGCCTGGATTCTTACCTGCCCCCGTGAGCTTCTTGGGTCTGACAGAGTCTGGGTTTCCTGTGCTAGTTTCTTTGATTTTTCAGTGGCTCATGCGGTCACACCTGGTCCCCTCTGCATTCAGTTGCTAGATCGCAGCGGGTGGATTATTTTCTGGGTTCCAGCCTCTGCCTGGGTAATACAGACCGGTTAGCCTCCTCTGGGGACTAGGAAGCTTAATGAGGGAGCTAGGAGGACTTGAAGAAGCCTACCATAAATGGAGGTGGTGGAGCAGGCAGGCTTAATGAGAGGAGGGTCCAGGCTTACCTCTGGCTTCATAGGACTAGTGGCCCTATCAGTTCCCTCTCCTTTCTCCTTCGTGCCAGAAAGGGAGTAGAGGGAGGTGTCTATCATGAGTCAAACTACCTTGTTTTGGAGCCTCCAGGACAAGGGAGGCTGTCTTTCATGTTGGTAAAAGAGCCTCCTCATCCCTTCCCCCAGGTCTAGGTTTGACCCCTCCCCCCAAATGAGCAATCAGTCCTCCAGGAGCCTCGGGATCATTTGGCTTATCTTAGACCACAAAAGGAAAGTGCTGGGTTTGTGGCTAAGGCTTTCAGGTGGATGAATCGTCAGGTGTCAGTGAAAAGCAGAACCTTAAGGGCAGAAAGAACTGAAAGGACCAGGCCTGAGGGATCCCCTAGGGGAAGGCCCAGAGCTACCTTCTCGCGTCCACATACCTTCATGTGTTGGGGGATTGGGGCCTGTAACAGAGTTGGAGTTGGTTTTGGGGTGAGCGAAGCCCCTTTCTCTGAGTTACCTACCCTGGGGGTGGGCACTGACCAAGAACTAAGGGGTGGGGGTGGGGTGGAGAAGGAAGAGGAAGATTAGCCTTGAGGTGGTGAAACTGGCTCTGACAGCTTCTCCCTCCAAGGCCTCCTGGGATGGAGCCAAGTCTGAGCCTCAGGCAGGTAAAGAGACCTGCGTGGCCTTAGGCAGAGCGTCCCACACCTCCACGTGCCTGCCTCCCTGCCTGCCTCCCCCTCCCATCTCTGATCTTTGCTCTCACCTGCCTGAATACCTTTGGCCTGCATCACCACCTCTGGCTTCCCCATTATCTCTTGGTCTGAGAGATGATAATCAACATTCTTAACAACCCAGTACACCGCCACTGACCTATTAGAATGAATAGGACCCTTCGCACAGTTCCTTTGACATACTTGCTGCGGCAGCACTTACTTTCAGTGAAGTGAGTGCAGATTCAGGGCTGGCCTGGAGCGCTTTGGTTGGTGCTGACGGTTCAAAGCTCTTTACAGCTGGTGCAGAGTAATTTCCTATTTGAACAAGGCTAACATATATAGTCACATCATTCTGGGCTTCCAACATCAGAATCCTCTGTTCTTTCCAATCCCCTCATCCCTGGAAGAACATTTAGCACTGATCTCCTCACTTTCTCTTTCCTGGGTTCCAGTCTGGGGCTAGTGAGAGGAGCCACTCCCATGATTGTTTTCAGGACCTCCAAATCTGAGTGGGAAATTTGGATCCCCTGAGGTCAGGGCAGTGGAGAGAGGAGACACTAGAAAAGGGACAGGTCCAATGTGAGATGCCAGGTGCTTTGACATCCTAGGATCAAAGGAATTGGATTCCACTTCCTTTTGGCCTCTTCTCATTCACTCGTGCCATCCTATTGCCCCCTCTCCCCTTCTTAGCCTCTTTTGGGGTAGCTAGGGCTGAGGGAGTGCATCCCATCGCTGGGCTCCAAACCTACATTGCCAGGACAGAAGCTGTGCTACAATAAAAGCTGTCCCTTTTCAACCCTCTCCTCCCCCTGGCTTTTCCTGAGCTTAAAGAAAAAAATTGGAAGAACATGTTTGAACCATTTTCCAGGCTCTTAGACATAGACCTGTTTCCAGTCCCTCCCATAGTGCTGGGGTAGATTACAGTGGGACAGAAAGCATGTCTCCTATTTCTGGGGTGTGGAGTTGCAGCTGAAGGGATTTGGGTTGGATTCCAGGAAGGACCTCTAGGCCTCTTGGTAGTGGCAGGTGAGGTTGTTGGCTTTACTCCTTCCCTCTGGGAAGCTGTAGGCCCTCAGTAAGGCTTCACCATCTCTACCTTGTTCTGTTTCTTGACACAGATGTTTGGCTGTGGCTCTGTGGCCCAGGTGGTTCTCAGCCGAGGTACTCACGGTGGTTTCCTCACCATCAATCTGGCCTTTGGTTTTGCTGTCACCCTGGGCATCCTGGTAGCTGGCCAGGTCTCTGGTAAGACTTGAACCCCACTCTCAGTCCGGGTCCCTCAACAGTGTTCTCACCAGATGTCCCATTGAAGAAGACGATGGGAGGGGATGTATTCCCAAGGATGGGGCATAGCCATGGCCTCAGCCCTGGGCTCTTGGGAGGGGAGGAGGCAGAAGAGACTTGACCCTTAAAACCTTCAACTCTCAGGCTGGGAAGGTGGCTCAGTGGTAGAGCGCTTGCCTTGCATGCCAGAGGCCCTGGGTTTGATTCCTCAGTACCACATAAGCAAAAAGAAAAAAGCTGGAAGTGGCGCTGTGGCTCAAGTGGTAGAGTGCTAGCCTTGAGCTGAAGAGCTGAGGAACAGCGCCCAGGCCCAGAGTTCAGGCCCACGACTGACCAAAAAAAAAAAAAGAAATCTATCTTGCTGGAGTCAGAGAGGAGAAATACATAGGCCACTGTGGTGGGCTATGGATAATAGATCCTATCGCTTCTCTGTCCAGGGGCCCACCTGAACCCAGCTGTGACCTTTGCCATGTGCTTCTTGGCACGGGAGCCTTGGATCAAGCTGCCCATCTATGCCCTGGCTCAGACACTGGGTGCCTTCCTTGGTGCGGGGATCATTTTTGGACTGTACTATGGTAAGCATTCCGCACTCCAGCCTCCACTGCCCTCTATTGCCCCCTCCTTCAGCTCAGGACCTGTTGGCACCAGGCCTTGTGATGACAGACAGCTGGGGCCTGCCCAGGCCCAGAGCCCATGACTCATTCATTCATGCTCAGGCCCAAGGTTTGGGGCACAATGGGAGAGAAACAAGTTGGGCAACATCATCAGTCTCAGGCCCTCCACCCCACTCTACCTTGCCTTCTCTGTACCCCAGAGAAATATAGCAATTTCTGCTCATCGTGACCCTTGGGAGAGTGGAGCGGACCTAGCTGGAGATGGGGAGGCCCTCAGACTTCACTTATTCTGTCTGATCTGTCACCAGATGCAATTTGGAACTTTGCTGACAATGTGCTTGTAGTTTCGGGCCCCAACGGCACAGCTGGCATTTTTGCCACCTACCCCTCTGGACACTTGGACATGGTCAATGGCTTCTTTGATCAGGTATGGTCTGGGGCGTGTGTGTAAGGGGGAACAAGTGAGCTTGGTTGTTCATAGACTGGGTGGGGAACAGGACTCTGGATTTCTCAATTTGTGGGGACTCCCAGTCTCAGGACATGGTGGTAGGTCCTTATAAAACATACAGCTTCCACCGGGCACCGGTGGCTCACGCCTGGGCAAGAAAGTCCTTGAGACTCTTATCTCCAATAAACCACTAGAAAACTGGAAGTGGCGCTGTGGCTCAAGTGGTAGAGCGCTCGCTTTGAGCTGAAGAGCTGAGGGATAGCGCCCAAGCCCAGAGTTCGAGCTCCACAACCGACCAAAAAACAAAACAAAACAAAAACATACAGCTTCCACTGGGCACCAGTGGCTCACACCTATAATCCTAGCTACTGAGGAGGTTGAGATCTGAGGATCACGGTTCAGAGCCAGCCAGGACAGGAAAGTCCGTGAGACTCTTATCTCCAATTAACCACCAGAAAACCAGAAGTGGTGCTGTGGCTCAAAGTGGTAGAGTACTAGCCTTGAGCTGAAGAGCCTCAGGGTCAGGCCCCAGCTCCATGACCAACAAAACAAAAACAAACATACAGCTTCCCACTGAATTATTATTATTATTATTATTATTTTTTGCTTATGTGGTGCTGGGGAATCGAACCCAGGGCCTCATGCATGCAAAGCAAGCGCTCTACCACTGAGCCACCTTCCCAGCCCCTGAATTATTATTATTATATTTGTCCATTGTGAGCCTGAACTCAGAGCCTGGGAGCTGTCCCTGAGCTTTTTTGCTCAAGTCTAGCACTCTACCACTTTGAGCCACAGTGCCACTTCAGGTTTTCTGGTGGTTAGTGGGAGATAAGAGTGTCATGAACTTTCCTGCTTGGGCTGGCTTTGAACCAAGATCCTCAGATCTCAGCCTCCTGAGTAGCTAGAATTATAGGCATGAGCCACTGGCACCTGGTTAAGACTGCAGGCAGGGGACCATCGGGATGAGAGGGTGGGGAGGGGGAGCTGCTGCTCATTCTGTTTTTGTCACTCCCTAGTTCATCGGCACAGCGGCTCTCATTGTGTGTGTGCTGGCCATTGTTGACCCATACAACAACCCTGTGCCCCGTGGCCTGGAGGCCTTCACAGTAGGCCTTGTAGTCCTGGTCATTGGCACCTCCATGGGCTTCAACTCTGGCTATGCTGTCAACCCTGCCCGGGACTTTGGTCCCCGCCTTTTTACTGCCCTAGCTGGATGGGGTTCGGAAGTCTTCACGTGAGTACAGTGTATACCTGGCTTATTCTGCCTGCCCCTCTTGCCCTGCCCCACCTGCTCCAAATGACGTGTGTCTATTATTCCCCAGGACCGGCCGGCACTGGTGGTGGGTGCCCATTGTCTCGCCACTCCTGGGCTCCATTGCAGGTGTCTTTGTGTACCAGCTCATGATTGGTTGCCATCTGGAGCAGCCCCCACCAGCCGCTGAGGAAGAGAATGTGAAGTTGGCCCATGTGAAGCACAAGGAACAGATCTGAGTGGGCTGCGTCCATCCCTCCAAAGCCCCCCTCCCCTGAGCATGCAGTGATGGGGCGGGAGTCCCCTCATGAGTCCCTTCACAGGCTAAGAAGCTCTCTGCCTACCCTATCCCCTCTGGAGGGCCCCTTCTAGGATTTCCCTGGACTCTGCCCCATAGGACCTTAGATCACCACTGTGAGCCTGGGTGGGAAGAGAGTAGGGCCAGACTTGGTTTTGTCTCCTAAAGGGAAAGAATAAGTAGCAGTGGTGTGTGTGTGTGTGTGTGTGTGTGTGTGTGTGTGTGTGTGTGTGTGTGTGTGTGTGTGTGTGTGTGCGCGCACATTCATATGAGTGGTTTCCCAGATATTCAGGGCAAGGGACCAAGCATTTAGAAAGGAGCTAGCAGTTTAAGCACTCCACAAGGAAGAAGGCAATGTATCAACCTGAGGGAAGAAAGAGTCAAGGTGTGTATGTTCTAGGGCTCTATGTGGAGGAAGGTCCAGACCTGTGTGATTTTTTTTTTTTTTTGGTTGGTCATGGGGCTTGAACTCTGGGCCTGGGTGCTGCCCCTCAGCTCTTCAGCTCAAAGCAAACACTCTACCACTTGAACCACAATGCCACTTCCAGTTTTCTGGTAGTTTATTGGAGATAAGAGTCTCATGGACTTTTCTGCCCGAGTTGGCTCCAAACCACAATCTTCAGATCTCAGCCTCCTGAGTAGTTAGGATTATAGGTGTAAGCCACCAGCACCCAGCTCACCTGTGTGATTCATGAGTATGTCTGGGTCTGCCACTTTCCCCTCCCTAAATGGGGCCTCTCTAGGCTTTTGGGAGGTGAAACTGAAAGGAGAGAATCACAGTTCAGATCTGGGGCTCTTGGATCCCAGGGTAGAAGCTGTATAACATGTTTCTGTCATGTCGTCTTGTTGTGTGCATGTGTACATGCGTGCATGTATGTGTGTGTGTGTGCAATCCAGGTAATAAGTTTCATGTTTGCTTTTGTTTATTTTGTTTTTTAAAAATATATATAGCTGATGTTACAATCTTAGGGATGGGGGTTGAGAGACTCCTCTTTGAAGAGGTCTCCATTCCTTTAATCCTCCTCAAGAATATACTTTTTTGCCTTTTTTATATAAAATAAACCATCTGCCTAAAACTTTCAAGTGTGCACATATCTTTCTTGTTCTGCTATTTTTCTGGAGTCAGTTAAGGAGCTTTGTTGTATCTGGCTACAAATTCCCAGGTGCCCAGCTAGATACCTAATCTTCCAGCTCCCATTCTTCTGGACTTCTTCTTAGCTCCTGTAGCTACCATCACCCCAGGAAGACAGGCTGGAGCCCCATGGTGGTGGAGAAGAACCTTCTAGGCACAGCTGCCTAGAAAAGAAGTGAGGGAGTGAATTCCCTATGGTGGGAGATCTATGGACCAAGGGACTTGTATTGTCCTCTGCAGCCTCTGCCTCCAGCCTGAGGTTGGCTATGATCCCTTTAGCATCCAAGTGTGCATGCGATTCAGTCTGCACAATTGTCAGAAGGAGCCAACTAGCACTCTGCCACTTGAGCCACAGCACCACTTCTGGCTTTCTCTGTGTATGTGGTACTGAGGAATGGAACTCAGGGCTTCATGTATGCTGGGCAAGCGCTGTACCACTAAGCCACATTCCCAGCCCACACCTGGGGCTCTTTTAGGGTACCTACCACATAAAGACAGTCAAGCTCTTCATCAACATCTTTTTTTTTTTTTTGGGTCCGGTCATGGGGCCTGAACTCTGGACCTGGGCGCTGTCCCTCAGCTCTTCAGCTCAAGGCTAGTGCTCTGCCACTTGAGCCACAGCACCACTTCCGGCTTTTTTCTTTTTGCTTATGTGGTGCTGAGGAATCGAACCCAGGGCCTCAGGCATGCAAGGCAAGCGCTCTACCACTGAGTCACCTTCCCAGCCCCTCTTCATCAACATCTACGTTCTATAGGACCTGCCCTTGTCTCTGACTCTCCCTTTGTAATGCCATCTACCCTATCCCAGCCTTCTTTATGTGCCCCTGGGTTTTGGCCTTCTCTCACATTTTTCTATTAGAATCCTGATCTGCCTAATACCTTCTCCTCGAAAGTAAGTCTTCCCTAAATCTTTGAGTGTGTGTGTATGTGTGTGTTTGTGCGCACGTGTGTGTGTGCGTGCCAGTCCTGGGGCTGGAAAATCTAAACCTGAGCACTGTCTCTGAGCTTTATTTTTTTCCTCACTCAAGACTAGTGCTCTACCATTTGAGCCACAGCTCTACTTCCAGCTTTTTGGCAGTTAGAGATAAGTCTCACAGACTTTGCTGCCCAGGCTGGCTTCAAACCATGATCCTCACATCTCAACCTCCTGAGAAGCTAGGATGACAGGTGTGAGCTACTGGCTCTTCTCTAAGTCTTGCACCATCTTCTACGGTCACTGGCCCAAGCCCGGAAACCACTGTGGTATACACCCCTGGCCTTCCTCTGCTTCGCTTCTTGAGTAAGGCATGTCTGTGCCCGGGCACCACGGGTGGTGATACGTACTGTCACCCAGAACACAAGGGCTGCACCATACCTGAGCCCAGAAGCTCTTCTCATTTCCACTTAAAAAAAAATCTTTTAAATATGCATCTGACTTAAGTTTCACCAAGCGTACAATTGAAGGCATAGCTTCCCGAGCTCTCTTGCAGAGTTAACCCCATGAGACCCAGGAAAATCTCAAGTTCACAGGTTTATACTTTCTAGAGACCAAGCCTACTCTTATTGCCCAGCCCCTTCATAGAAGATTATGACCGTGACCATGACTCAGAGAGGGTGGGTGGCAAATATAGGGTCACACAGCCAGAACAAAGACCAGGGAGGCAGAGGTGGGATATGGGATGCGGGGAGGTTAGATATAGAAATTCTCCCCCTTCCTGGTCCCCAGCTCTTAAGAGGTGTGTCTGGAATGCTGGAGGGACCTGAGCCAGAGGGAGTGTCCTGTACCTGACCCTGAGGGAAGTTAGGAAGGAAGGGTAAGCCTTGGGAGGAGAATGTGGCTGTAGAGTTTCATTCCAGTCACACTGGTCCTAACTTGGGTATCCCTACCTCCCCTGTGCCCCATGCCCAACATTCCTTTCTCTGAAATCCTGCTGTTGGTCCTGATTAGTCAGCCCATGGGGTGATGAGAAACCTTGTGCTGGGATTAATAGAGAGTTGAGCCTAGATTACATTTCCAGCTTGGCTTTACTCAAGCTTTGTGACTTTGGAATATGAATATATTCTTTCCCAGAACCTCAGTTTCCTTCTCTGTGACTTGGATGTTGTCGAGAGGAAATAATAGAAGTCATGAAAAGGACTTAACACAATGTATGATAAGACTCAATAAATGTCAACATGGGCTTTTCATTAAGAACTAGAGATGGGTGGGAAAGTAGGGGTCAAGGAGGGGTGCTGACAGCTTTGTGTGTGTGTGTGTGTGTGTGTGTGTGGTAGTACTGGGGCTTGAACTCAAGGTCTACATGGTGTCCCTGAGGGTTTTTGTTTCTTTTTTCTTCCTTTTTTTTCTCTCAAAGCTAGCAGTCTACTCATTTGAGCCACAGCTCATTTACGGCTTTCGGGTGGAAATTGGAGATAGGAGTCTCTGAGAGTTTCCTATCTGGGCTGGCTTTGAACCCAAATCTTCAGATCTCAATTTCCTAAGTAGCTAAGATTATAGGTGTGAGCCACCAGTGGCTGGCCGATGGCTAGTTTTTATTTTTATTATTTATTTAGGCTCCGGTCGTGGGCCTGAACTCTGGGCCTGGGCGCTGTCCCTCAGCTCTTCAGCTCAAGGCTAGCGCTCTACCACTTGAGCCACAGCACCATTTCCGGCTTTTTTCTTTTTCTGCTTATGTGGTGCTGAGGAATGGAACCCAGGGCCTCTGGCATGCAAGGCAAGCGCTCTACCACTGAGCCACCTTCCCAGCCCAACGATGGCTAGTTTTTAAAGGTAATTGAATTCAACATCCTCTTTCGCCTCAGCTTCCTTCCATGATTCTGAAGTTTTTTCTTTTTTGGTTGGTCGTGGGGCTTGAACTCTGGGCTTGGGTGTTGTCCCTGTGCTCTTCAGCTCAATGCTCGTGCTTTACCACTTGAGCCACAGCGCCACTTCAGGTTTTCTGCCTGGGCTGCCTTTGAACCTCAATCCTCAGATCTCTGACTTCTGAGTAGCTAGGATTACAGGCGTGGCTACCAGTGTCCGGTGATTCTGAATTTCTCGAGAGAGGAGGGAGGAAGAGAGAGGTAGCGGCTTGCTGTGTCTTGATGTTAGATGGCTTTTGTGAGGGATAGAAAGGAGATAAGATGGGTGATTGGGGGTGGGCACATGTCCAGGGGTACGTGGCAAAGGAGCACATTTCCAAGGGAATATGTTGGACATTTCCTAGGATAGCATGGAAGAAAGAGAAGGCCAGGCCAGGCTCGGGAGCCATGAATCAAAATCGAATTGCACAATGGTTACAAGAGGGCAAGGATGGAGCCAGTCTCCTCTCTCCCCGCCAGGCAAGGCTTCCAATGGCAGTTCTGGTTGTTAGCAAGGTCTAGAAGGAAAACTCTTTACCTCCTACTGGAAGATATCTCCCCTATGCTATGTAACGCACTTTCCAGGGCAGATGTGGAAAACACCCTTCATGGGAGGGGAACCACCTCCTGTGACCCACCGAGGGTTCCACTAGAACAGGAACATGGAAGCCGGGCACTGATGGTTCATGCCTGTAATCCTAGCTACTCAAGAGGCTGAGATCTGAGGATCGAGGTTCAAAGCCAGCCTGGGCAGGAGAGTCTGTGAGACTCTTTTTTTTTTTTTTTTTTTTTGTCGGTTATGGGGCCTGAACTCTGGGCTTGGGCGCTGTTCCTCAGCTCTTCAGCTCAAGGCTAGCGCTCTACCACTTGAGCCACAGCGCCACTTCCAGCTTTTTTTTCCTGCTTATGTAGTGCTGAGGAATCGAACCCAGGGTCTCATGCATGCAAGGCAAGCCCTCTACCACTGAGCCACCTTCCCAGCCCTGTGAGACTGTTATCTCCAA